GTCGGAGAAGCAGTTGGGAGCAAAACTGTGGGAGAACCTGGGTGGCGGTGGCATCAGCGCAGGGGCTGCTGCCACCTTTCCTTTCCCTTTCCTTTCCCTTTCCTTTCCCTGAGGACACTCAATATGTGTGAGTGAAGGGAAGCCCTGCTCCGCACTGGAGGACGGCATTTAGGCTGGTAGAAGGGTCGGCTAGAAGGGCAGACATTTTGGGATAATTTGGTATTTCAAATTGTATTGTCAGGAAAACGTATATAATTCTGCTCAGTATTTAAGGTGTAGAGCTCTGCCTGATACGCATTTCACTGTAAAACTGTTTTACTCTGTGTTTATTAACTGTTGCAGACAGACCTAGAAATGGTCACTGAAGACCTTGCACAGAAAGTGAACAGGCCTTACCTTCGGACTCCTCGCCATAAAATCATCCGTGCAGCTTGTCTTGTGCAGCAGAAGCGGCAAGAGTTCCTGGCCTCTGTGGCCCGTGGTGTTGCTCCTGCAGACTCACCCGAAGCACCTAGGCGCAGGTAATCCCAACAAAACACTGCGCCAGTCAAACAAGTTCTGCCGATAGCTGCCGAAGTGGGTGGACCCGCCGTCATTCTTTGGCAGTGAGATAGAGTGGAGTTGATAAACGTGGTGGTTGTAAATCACCAAAAAGTGGCACTTTCTTGGACATTTAAACGGTGTGGAGTTACAGTTTTTCACTGAGGAAAAATGTATTTGAGAACCACTGCTCTGTATGTTGCAGCCTAAATTGCTTCCCCATTTGTGATATATTAATGATTAGATGTCATGGCTTCCATTTCACTTTTTTCCTTCAAGATTGTAATGAAATACCTGGTACACTCCAAAAATCTACAAGTTTTTGCTAAAAATATCAAGCAGTTCTGGAATAGTCAATTTAATTGTGTAGTTTTCTAAATGAATTTTGAGGTAAGAATTAAGGCAGAAGACTTGTTTAGTTACAGTTGCAACGTTAATTAGATGTTGGTAGATTTTGAAGCTCTGGAGGTTGTTCATATGTTGTTCTGCTTCTAAACTTTATGGTATATCTCTTCATTTTGTAGCTTTGCTGGTGGAACATGGGATTGGGAATATTTAGGATTTGCATCCCCGGAGGTAAACTATTTCTTGTTTTTTGTTAACTTAGTTCTGCATATTGTAGAAACACAGGTATGGTTGCAGTCTGCATGAAGAGCTTCCTTATTTTGATTCAAAGCATTTCAAGTTGGTTTAAGTTTACCATTTTATTTATTCCACAATAGAAGGAAATATATGCATAGCTAACTGTGCAATGACTCTAAACAATGCCTTTAATATGGCTATAGTTATTTAAGGTGGCATTAGACCAAGCTGTGTCTATTCATCATTTTCCAAGCACATAACCGGTTTTAAAATTGTATATAAACTGGTGTCTATGTGCTGGGGAACCTTCAAGTGCTAAAGATATGAAATTGTGTAGATGGCTTTTGAATGCAGCATCAATTCAGCAGAATTTGACAACAAGTCTAAGAAATTTCCATCCTTCTGTAACAACCCAACAAAAACATACAGGCATACACCTAAACATTGTTAGCCATTTGAAATGTTTCTTTTTAGGTATTGAAGCAGGATGGAAATTGCATACTCAGATGAGATGATCTTCTGCTACTTAACCAAGAATGAAAATTACCATTTTTAAAGTGAATATTGCACTATCTGTATATGTGATTGAGTAAATAATTTTCAAGACTCTTCACTAAAATATGAAAAGCTTCCTGTAAAGCTTTCCTTTATCATCTTAATTTTTGTTTAATATTTTGAGAACATTAGATTAAAAGCATTCAGTTAGAAAGGAAGCTTTATTTCAGTGTTTTCCTGGTGCTGTTTCTTTCTAGCTAGTTATTTTAAAGCATTCTGGAAAGCTCCATGTAGTTTTTCTATATATTTCCTTTGCTATTGTTGTTGGTGAGCATCACACTGGTGAGAAAATAGCTTGCTTCTCTACAAAAAGATCAACTTTCTTCTCCTCTCTAGTTCCTTCAGTCATTTCTTTTGAAATAATTCCACATTTGATAGTGTCCAACTCATTGTAATGTTACTGTATCATCAGTGGAACTGGTGATGAGAAAAAGCTGATAAAAAATATGTTGATCAGCTGTTTAGCAGTAGGTGCCATTGCAGTTGTGCTTAGATGATTGCTTATGAGTTTTTATGATTTGCCTAAATGTGGCACTGTATGATTCAAGTTGGTTTCATTGCTACATAGCTATTAAGGATACTTGCAACCACCTATGCTAAAGGAATTTTGTAGAATTAATAATGGTCATCTTTGTTTATTTTAGTGATTTCACTACAAAAATTTTTATGTAGAGCTGTACTTCTACTGACAAGTAGTAGAATGACTGCGTATACCATATTATTACAGAAAACGAAATCTTACTCATTTTAGCAAGGAACACTGGTTGTTGTAGACTATTGTGTGAAACCATGATGTTCCTACCAAACAGAATTGAAACTTCTTTAGCTCACATGTATAAAATTGTTCCAAGTAATAAGAATAAAATTTTATTAGTAATCAAGATATCTTTGTAAAGGTTAAAAAGCAACCGAAAGTTAAATGGCTATTGGTAAAATGTATTATTTTATTGAAAACAGATGAAAGATAAGATCTGATATAATTAATAAATCTTAGTGTTCAGTGATCACTTCCCATTATTCCTGGTCTGATTCATAATCATATAATTATATATTTTTAAAATAATTCAGTTATATTGTTCTATATCAAGTTTTAATTTTCTGTTGTTTGGGGCACCACCTTCCGTTTATGAAATTCCTGAACTCCCTAAGAGCTGGAAGAATATTTTAGAGAAGAATCACTTCATGTTTGCCTTATTTTTATGTTGTTCCATAGGCTAACAAGCGTCTACTACTAATCACTGTTGAAGACAGAATATTGTCTGGTCCAGTACTGCTGGTTTTGTCTTCTTACAGTTTTCAAAGATCTTCTTACATAGATAGAAATCTGACCACACTGATGATTTTGTGACTTCTTTTTGGCTTGCATATGTCATTATGAATAAGAACTTGCTCTGAAACACTTTGTGGAACAACAATATAACATCATAATACCATCAAAATTAATAAGGTCATTGTGTAAGAGAAATGACACTTCTGGATTTAAGTTTTAGATACTTCAGATGTTGAGATATCCTAGGACGAAGAGTTAGTGTAAGAAAGGAAAGCTAATGGTAATGTTATCTTTCTCAGTTCATCTGGCCGTATGTAGCCTTTGATTACTGATTTCCCAGCTTGGGGCTCAGGGAAATAAATAGCAGTACTCCTCTCTGAAGAGAAGAGCTAGTACCTGTGTCTATATTTTTAATGCCTTTTGTGAATGAGTAACTGAAATTAACAAAAGATCTTACCTCCACAGTCAGGTTCAGCATCAGCTGTATTAACCAAAAAACATCTGGAAATTTGCCTTCAAGCATAAAATTAGTCTCTTAACATTAGGAAAGGTATGGAAATCAAAACATTTATTTCCAAGTACTAAGATAATTAACCCTTGGGATGTTAGCTTGACATGGTCAAAAATAGTCTTTTCCATAAATGTTATATAAACTGTCCTGGGTAAATGCATGCAACATGAGAAAACTACAGGCGCAGGAGCTCAAATCTGTATGGTATGGCTCGTTAGCAGCTCAAGTTGGGCAAAAATAGAGGGATTTGTAATTCATGGAATAAAAACCCATCAAAGACTGTTCAGTAGAAGAGTATCAGCTGTGGCTTAAGAAATTCCTGAGCCATAGTGTCCTGAAGGCTGGGAAAAGTATAACAAGTCCCAGTGTATGTCTGCGAGCTTTCTGTAGTCTTCCAAAGGTTATTTTCTTCTGGCAATTGCTGGCAACAGGGACTCTGAGATAATGTATTGGTCTGATTCAGATTAATTGTTTTTATGTTCTAAAGTCACTAGGTATATATTTATTAAAAAGTATGTCGATGTGTGCGTATATAAAGTTTGGCGTCAAAGCTTTTAAACAAAAAACGTGTACTTGGAATTCTTTAAAAAGGGAGATTGCAAGTATTAAAATGGTAATACATTGAGTATTTTTCTTTGCTAATTTATTGTTTTATACATTTAGGATTACCTTGGATTTTTTTTTTATTATTTGTGTTAAGCATTGCATGATATAACTTGCAATTTATTCTTCTGAAAACAGGTGATTTTATAATAAACATATAAAATCACACATTTTTTATAAAAATGTGATGCTTGCTACATCAGAAAAATATTACTGCATGCTGCCCTGTATTTTGTAACCTTTGGTTTATGCAGGAATATGCTGAATTTCAGTATCGGAGGAGGCACAGACAGCGTCGACGTGGAGACATGCACAGTCTGCTGAGTAATACTCCGGATCCTGATGACCCCAGTGAGAGTACATTAGGTAAGTTCCTGCCTGGGGCTGGTTTTTTTCTCTTCCTACTTCAGAAATTTCTAGTAGTGACCAGAGTGTTTGTTCTTCTGTGGAGACGCTTTAAAGAAATTTCAAATACATTGCTGTATTTTCCAGGATACAACATAATGGCTTATTTTTGTATTTTTCTATGTGATCTTAGAAATGTCGCTGACGACATTGTGGCTGCTCCTTTTTTTTAAAGAGAAATGTGTTGATCTTCCCACTAACAACTCGTCAGCTATTTAGAGCAGGTTTGCTTTTCTGAAGAAATTTTGAAGGGCATGTACTTCGTATGACAGTCTTATCTCTATACCAACTGTTTTATGCCAGTTAAAAGGACCAGTTGTGCATAAAGAGTGTAGAAGAGGGTTCCCCTGCTGCAGGCCTGCTGGAAGAGAGTCATAAGGCTATATTCCAAAACCCTGCTTAGAAACTCCTGTATTGGCAAAGACAGCCAGGAAACACGTTGGCGTAAGCTACAACTTCCAGCACACTGCTCTTCTAAGCAGTGCTATGGCTGGTAGCGCAGACCCTTGAGGTCACTGAAACTCGGCTGTCTGGGCTGTCTCCGTTCTGCCAGGAGCTTTTGCAAAGGTACCAAAATAGCTCGAATCCAAATCATGCTGTGACGCTGTTTCCTCAGAGCTGCCAGTTGTGTGCTTGGTCTCTAAGCCATGCTGCACAAACTCTCATTGCTGTGTCTCATCAACTTAAGTCCTATACATAGCTTGTCCTTTAAAAACAAAAGGAGATAATCCTTTACTGAGGAGAAATAAACAAACGCATTGCTTTGGTCCTTCCCTATCATAAGTAAAATGCAAACCCATCTTGTTAGTTTGAGGACTAGGATTTGACTGTACGCTTGGATGTCGTAGTGATGACCAGTGCATACTGTGAAAGCATGCAAGAGAGAATTATCTTGTCTCACCTATTTCATTTTGAAGTGGAAAATTCCATTTTCCAAAGTCAAAAGAGTTACATTTATTTTTATTACAGAACAGTTTTTCTGGAAACAACATTTTACTTCTGGTTTTTTGTTGGCTGTTTTAAGAAAACAGCAATGTCAGTGATTGCTGAGGTGTACACTAACGACTCTAATTGTGCTGCAATGTTATGGTAAAAATTAATGTAACGTTAACATTACAGCTGAGTTGTTATCTTTGAAAGAAAAGAGAAATGGGCAAACTTTGGTTGAAATCCACCTGTAAATGCATCCTGTATAGTGTCCACATGCAGTATTTTTGAGGACTTTCTATAAATCGTGTATGTGCCTTAGAAGCACTTTGCCGCTCCTGCTAGTGGGTTCCTGCTCCTGATGGCATGCCCCATCCTTTCAAAGAGAGGAAGAAGGGTATCGAGAGCAGAGAGGCACAAATGAACGAGGCAGTCACTCCTACAACAGTGGGACTGGTGTTTTGCCACTGTGTAAGAGTTGATGTGGAAAGGAGTGTTTTGGATCATTTAGTTCAGAGTGAATAAAGGAGTAAAATTACATAGCTGGAATCCAAAAGGAAGGAAGAGATTCTGTCAGTAAATAGCAGTGGAGAAGACTTCCTCACTGGTTTTTCAACTGTTTTTGTTTCAATTGCCCAAACAGACACTCAGGAAGGTGGCAGTAGTAGAAGACATGGCACCTCCATGGTGAGTTCAGCTTCTATGGGTATTCTACACAGCTCTTCGCTTCATGACTATACCCCTGTCAGTCGCTCTGAAAACCAGGATTCTCTTCAGGTATCTCCCCTAATCTCTTTTCCATTCTCTCTGCTTTGCTTGCCTTCCTCTGCTCTGCTTTTCTGTGTCATTTTGTCTCTCCACAAATTTTCTTAATTCTTCAATGAGAAAGGGAGAATCTAGGACAACAAATTCTACATTCACACTGGTAAGAACTGCTAAACAATCACTAATATAACAACAGTCACCTTTTAAATTCTAGTGTCGGCTGTGTCAGTAAAAATTGATTCTGATAAAAGACATCTAGGAATAATGAATTAATTTCAGATGTGAGCCCAAATTACTTTTAATCCAAAATATGTGATGAAAGTTTTATTCTGAAAGCAACCTTATATATTTCCACAGGCTCTGAGTTCTTTGGATGAAGATGACCCAAACATCCTGCTGGCTATTCAGTTATCATTACAAGAGTCTGGCTTGGCCATAGATGAAGAAACTAGAGACTTTCTAAATAATGAGGCATCTTTAGGAGCAATAGGGACATCTTTACCTACAAGATTGGACTCTGGTCCCATAAGTATAGATAACCCAAGAGGCGCTTTGAGCAGCTCTGAGCTGTTAGGACTTGGTGACAATCTGATGAGACTGGGTGCAGGCAGCGATCCATTTTCAGATGACCGTCTTCATTCACACCCCTGCAGCGATACAAGAAGTGGGTTATACTCAACATCTAGTGACGCTGATTCCAGCAGTCAAGATCCCAATACCAATGAAAATCTCCTTGGAAATATTATGGCCTGGTTTCATGACATGAATCCACAGAGTATTGCTCTGATCCCCTCAACAAGTACGGAAACAGATGAGGATTCACATCAACCCAGTACTGAAGATGGGTCAGCAGGGCAACCAAATCTTAGAGACATGGGGCTGGAGCCTCAGGAAGAGCATGCACTGTTTGAGGATGCACTCAAAAACGAAGGCAGAGGAACGCAAACAGAGGAAAGCACTTCTGAAGAAAACATTATTCCAGGTGAAATGGTATCACAAAGTTGTGATAGTAACAGGGAGGTAACAAGCACCCTGGATGCTTCAGGAGATACTTCAAGTCAGACTCCTCAAACCTCAAGTGAATGGATTGAACATGTGCATCTGGTATGAATAAAAACTAAATCTGGAGTAAATGAATGGTGGTGACAGATGGTACAGTACGTGGAGTAAGCATTACGGAGGCTTTGATCCACATAATTACAGCTCTGTTGTACCCGCTGACGTAACAACGGATATTTAGGAGTTCTCTTGAATTGTAGTTCTTTATAATGTGAACCTTTCAAGGAATATCCTTTGCATTTAATTAAGTAGTACTTGCCTTTCTGCTCTCAAGAAAAAGGAAGAAGTAGGTTGTATTCCACATTCCTAATACAATGCAGCATCTGTTTAGCCTTGTTGATGATCCTTAACTTGAAAGTATGGATTAAAGGCATACACTGATTATTTTGGTTGGTTTTCCTAAGAAATAGTTTATTCCATTTTTTTTAGAACTCATTCTTTCACCAAAATAACATTTAGCAATTCATTTGCATTTTGTTTTTTTTTCCATAACTTCTCTTGACTCATTTTTCATTTTTGTTAGCAGTGTGAACGGAGGTATTTAATGCTTCTCTTTAGTACTGCTCCAGGAACAAGTTTTAGGGGATATTCTTTCCCATTAAAATCAAAGATTTTTTCATGTCTATTTACAGTCCAAATGTGCCAAACTGTGAATAGTTAGCTGGCAGTAGCCTAATGAAACAGTGCAGTGTTACTCTATCCAACTAATCCCACAATTCTTAGCAGTGAAAGAAACCACTGGGTAGCATTGCTTCTCTAAATTTAACTGGCATGTGTTGCCATGGTGACTGCATTTAATTAAATGTAGCCTGTATCTTAAGTTAATAAAACCTAATGCTGCTGTTAAACAGTTGTTTTAAATATTAAAATACAGTGAGTTAGCAACAGCTATGCTGTATTTTAAGAGACACTTTAATGGAAGTGCAATCATAGTTCTTTGTTTTCATAATTCTACAAAGCATTCTATGCACTAATAGTGCAATTACTTTTAATGATAACATTTTATAAAAATATAGGAATACAGAATTTTCATATATTAGCCAGTCCCACAATTAAAGTTTGAATAACGCATTCTGCTCAACATGTTACGGTGCCTTTGCCTAACACAACTGGATAGTTGCCACAGTTAAACAAGTAATTCAAATTCAGTGTCTGTTCTGGAGTAACTATGCTATTAATTGCAAAGACCTCCATAAAACCACCCATGGCCTTGCCTTTACAGTAAATAACTAAATGTTCAGTCAGTGTTTTTGCATAAACAAAACACTGCTAGGTATTTGTTCAATTGCACAATATTCATTTGCTGTGTGATTACTGTTTAGTGTAAAATAAATAAATAAATAAATAATAAATAAATATCCCCACAAAACACCCTTTTCCTAGTTGTTGTACCGTGAAAAAAAAAAAATACTGGTTTTAGATTTGCTTAAGAGCATCGATCTACAGTTAGTGAGATACAATGGTACAGTATGTAATTACAACTAGAGTAAGTTGTTGAAATGGCTGTTTTAATTACATATAATCAAAACTTGTCATAACACGAGCAAATTGCATACACTCCATTTTAAGTTTTGCTTAACTGTTACCAGAGATCTGTTGATATGATATCAAAGTTTATTACTACTGAGTGTGTATAGGCAAGTGTCATGATCGCAAAGTTTATGTATTGATCAATGTGAGTTCAAGTGAGTGTTTTGGTAACTAATTCATGCAAATCCAGCTTTTGAACCTTGCAATCACAAGGTTCATATTAATAAAACACGAAATAAGAATATTTTACCCTTACCCCATAAAAACCTAGTTCATTTTGCAAGCATCTTTAGAGAGAATGGAATAGAATAGTCTCAAATAATTTTCCAGCTTTTCCTCTAGCTGCCCTATTCCTGACATAATCATGAGTCTTTGGACATCTCTTTGAAAAATACCTATTTTAAATTGTTCTATGGTATAAAATCCTTCAACTGAAACAGGTCTTCATGAACTATCATAATGAATTGGTCTGAAAGGTGTTCAACTCACACAGCTTCCTTGAACTGTAATTTCTGAAAAGAAAGATTCTCACAAAAAGATTGTGTCTTGCATTGAGATGTCTTGCAAAGTTACAGTAAGATATGTAAGAGTGCTCTCTGTGAAGCTAGTGAAGTTTGTGGGTTCTGGTTTTTTGTAATTTGGTTAGGTTGTGCAGTATATCCATTGTTTCCGTGTTACTCTTATGAGCATGAAATTAGCCTATTAAATTTGTATTTTCTGGGTACTTATTTTAACACCATAGTCATTGACTTTACAATTCAAAAATAAAGTTTGGCAAGACTATTTTGTAAACCTGTTAATTTTATAATGTAAAAAAATTACTCTAACCTTGAATTGTTATTTGCACTTTCATAGTCTATACTTGATACATTCCCACTTTATATACAAGTAGGATACTACAACCATGTAGATGTTTGGCCAAATGAATGCTGTTAATAATATGTAAAATTCTTTGATTAAACATTTATTACTTAAACTAATTCCGTTCTGTCTCATTACATCTTAGACTTATTGTAGCAGATTCTTAAGACCGATGACAGACATTTTTAGGATAAGTTCAGTTCTGTGTCAGATTAGCTGGGGACCGTATAGTAAGTTGCATGTTTTGATTTATAATTATAAGGTACGTATATTCACTAAATTTAAAATAGACTATTTTGCCTTAATTGCTACAGCCATATTGTGCACTTGTTTTTTGTAAAGAGTAATGCCTCGTCATTGCAAATAGTGGTGCTACAGAGAGCGGGGGGACTAATTTTTGAGGAAGATACTGTTACGCGGTGTTACTTACATGGCACTTAATACCCAGCCTGCCTCATTACCAGGAAATTCCAGACTGCCTCCATTATGTTAACAGGCACTAAACTATTCTGTTCATTGCTACAGTCATTTAATTAGTTTCCTCCAACAAGCATGCCAAGATGCTGGTGAGCTTCTAAAATCGAACGTGCAAAGTTGGATTAGTCACTGCAAGGCACTTTCCGTCACCTGCTGCTGTGGTGTCACTGCACGTGCTGCAGTTAGCAAGGACTCAGTAAGATCGTGAGTATCACAAGAGATTTTGGGGTTTATGGCAGCTAGCACATACTAACAGATATACAGATTTAAAACATATTTTCTGAGGTGTTCAAAATCACAACAATGTGCTTCAAAATCAGACACCCCCACAGCCCAGTTTCGGAGATCTGCTTATCAAGGCAAATTTTGCTATTACCTTCTCCTTCTCTTCCCCTCTCCCAGCACACGCAAGGCAACCCACTGTAGTACTCACGGAGGCTGGTAAGAACGGAAGCCAAACACGGATATAATGATGGCTAGTTTCTTTGCTAAAAATTGTCTAGACAATCTACTCAGAATTAGACAATATCCTGATTATTGTCCTTATTACTCTTCTTTAGATCAGCCAGATGCAGAAACTTGAAAGATGTAGAGAAGCCAGTGATGATGCAAAACCGAGTGTCATTTTTGCCATCTCGTCCTTTTAGCTGAAGAGTAAAGCACGAGATGTGCATCAAAAGGAGGAGACGGATCCCCTGTCAATTCAGCATAAAGCTGTGTTTGCTGTCAGTCTTTGTCTGAGGGCAAAGGAGTGAACGAAGGCGTGACTTTCTGCAATGATACGCTTTGACTCCAAAAACAGGCAAATTCAGAATTTACACTATTCTCCAAATATAAAACAACATAAAACAATTTAAGTAGTTCATAAAAAATTACTAAAAATAGAATAATGGAGTAAAGAAAAAAAGTTTCCTAATGTAACTGCAAAGCCCTTTTTTCCTCAACTCATCGTAGATACTTGAGGTTACATCTCACCAACAAAATGTTAAAGCTAATTCTTAACAGGATAGTGTTATTTCTAAATTGTGCAGGTCTTATTCTTTACAGAAACCCTTTCTGCAGTGAAATACAAACTTGAGGAGGTGTTTTGCATATATTTTTTTCTTTTTAGGTCATTTGCGTGAATATCCAGATAAATGGAATATGAGCAAGAAAATATTTAATATACTCAGATAGATGTTCAGTACTGCAAATACATAATCTTCAGGATTCAGATTATAGTGATATTTTCATCCAAGCATAAGTGTCTTATCCACCACAAGATACTGGAAAAAAGATGGGGTATTTTATCTTGGGGTTTTTACATAAGGTTTGTTCACTACATGAGAATGATTCATCTTTACACAAATAGTTTTAAGGAGTATTTATCAGTTTATGAACGCAGGTGTTTTTCTGTGAGCAACAGTGACCATGGTGCAAATTATTAATCAGTTATATTTTGGCCACTGCACCTCCTGCTTTAATTATCAGGCCCATTTTATTTATAATAACCTATTTGAAAAAAAGGCCTTACTTAGACACTAGCATTTTTACTCTGCAAATGCCACAGTCAGTCTTGCTGTCCACATTTTTTAGCATGGCAGTCCATATAGCCAACATCATCGTCTTTTAAGGGATGCAAACAAACAGCAATGTCATATTCATTAGCCAGCCAGGATTCACTACTGCAACTGCAAAGAATACTAGAATATATATCAGAAACCTTTACATGCTGCAATTTAAAAAAAAAAATACATATCGTATTTTTAAATTGGTCATCTTTATTTTCTGTTCGGGCATCTGGAGTGTGACACTCTCCTTCTGACCATGATGTCTTTACATATAATTCAGCAGCAGGCACCCACTTAAAATTCCCATTCTTTTTTTTGAGCATATGCAGACAGTGTTACTGAGCACAAGAGTCCAAATTCTGCTTAGCTATAATTTAGCCATCCAGCTCCATTCTCCATGAGTTGAGATTAATTCTGTCCTGGAAGGCAGAAGATAGACTCTTTGATGGTCTAAATAAAAATCACATTTATTCTATTTGTACAAAGTGAGCACACTATACGTGGCACAGAAAGAAACATTAGGATGTAGACTATTATGGTGTATATAATGTTCATTCATTATACAAGATGTGCAAGGTTTTTAGGTGAAGTAACTTCCCCTTGATACACAGGCAGTCTTGATGGACTTTTGCACTTTCTGCTACTGTATACGCCTTCTCGAAAATGGTGTTAGAGATTTAAATTAGCTAAGTGGGTGAGATGATAGCACCAGAGATGCACTTTGAATAGACTATCAAAATACTGTGCTGAAGGCTACTGTTCCAGATAGGGCATAACCTATTTGTAGCTACTGTTAAAAAAATAAAGGAGAAACGGTTTTCATTTTTGATCTTACTCTGCTCTGTAGACTTACACTGGAAGTCTTTACAGTGAAACACAATTGCAATTTGTTATATAAAGAAAATACATCATCTTATCATTTCCTATTACATTGCTATTTTCATGCTTGTCAGCCTTTAAAGTTTTGCTTGAAGTTTGCTTCTGCTATATCAACGGAGCACAGCAGCCCAGTTTCATCTTTCAAGAAACTTTGGTGAACTCAAGGATGAGGGTAGTTCTACATTCCATTGTAATAACAATGTAGAGAAAGGCTGAAGTTCACTAACAGAGCCAGACAGGGAATAAAACAGGGACCGTAGAAAAACCTCCCAGACTAAACCGTGATCCCAGGCAAGTTTGAACTGGTTGCAGAATCCAGCAAACAGAGCAATGTGCTGCAAAGCTTCATGGAAAATGAGGTATACTCACAATTGTCTCACGTCCTCACAATTATACTTGCCATTGTGTGATGGCACAAAGAATGCCAAGGGCAGAGTTGCTAAGATCAGAACCAGGAACATTGCAGGCACTACCGTGAAGTCCCACTGGAGATAACAAATGAAACTCAGGCTCGGTTTATTTCCTCCTACTGCAGGTCCTTTGACTAGTGTAAGAAGAGACGAGAAGTCACAAAATTACACCGTGAGCCTGCCACCTTTCAGGAGTCAGGAAAGGCTCTCAGCTCCTCAGAAACAGGGACTCCCCGTGCAATGTGTAGAACTACAGCCACAGAAGGACTTGAGCACCACTTTAAAATCAACGCAGCTGAGGCTGCATCAGAAGGGGCAGGGGGGAGCTGGCTACCACAGAGGAAACGTTAATCGAGAAAACCCCCTGCGATGACAATCCCAAGTAATCTATTAAGTGCAGCTGACTGAAAAGGACAAACCTCTGTCATGTGTCTGAAATCTAAGTGTAAAGCAGTAATAAACTGTCAGTAGTAAATAACTGAAGTTGGTTTGCATTTATTATGAAATCTTATCCAACTGGCAGATCTCCTTTATATATTTTTACAAATTAAATAGAGAGAAAGTCTACGTGATTAACAAGTTAATTTACATGCACAGTGGGAAAGTGCATGTTGTGCCTTCAGGAGCCAGTGTTGACTTGCAGCTGTCATCCTAGCTTATAACGGAGACACAAAAACCTTCTTCAACAAAAAACGTACATGAAGAAAATGGACTTCTGTAGTCACAGTTAACAGCAGTACCTACTTCTGTCACTGGTGCAAAAAGAGAGAATCCCACAGTCACAAGTGAGGTTGCACCCAAGGACCACATCATTGCATCAACACTGTGAAGGCTAAAAACCAAGCTTAAAGTATTCTTAGTGGCACGCAGTTTAACTGGAACCACTAATTCAAATCCTGTTCAAAGACTTCAAAACTTCTCCAAGACCCTCAAGAACTGTCTCAAATGAAGCAGAAACAGTAACCTGTAAAGATAACCTGTTAAGCAGAAAGCCTGTACTATGGGATCTGCATTTGCAAGAAGATAAAATAGTGGAAAAACTCTCAGCTGTTACAAAAATCAGCCCCAAGAGCCTGAAATGGCAAACCGTGACAATTGCAGAAGTACTAACTTTTGTTAAATGGTGTATTTTTGTTGTTCTTGTACCACTGAAGCATTTTAGAGTACAAATAGAGCAGTAAAGACAGCTTTAACATACTTTAAAAGAACAAAGTACTTGTGGTCATTATATGTTCTCTCTGCCATTGCTTTACCTAGCCACATCCCACGGGGCCAAAAACCGAAGACCTCACAAAGTCTGGGGTTAGTTCTTGGCTCTGCCACACACTTAAATGAGTAATTAAGACCCCAAAGTTGCAAAGATAGATGCATGCTACTTATGCAAGTAATAATTGTGCAATACATTTCAAGAATAGCATTATTTTTAGCTATGGGAATTAAGAGAATAAAACCTGCTTTTCTCAGAAGAGACCTAATAAAGACAGGACGATGTGAAAATGCAAAGTGCACCAGCCAGTCAGATTCGTGCCAAATTACGTGCATTTACAGCGCAAATACTTCCATAGAAGTGCTCCAGGTGCATCCTCTGCAGCAGACTGTGGAACAGTGACACAGAAAATCAGAATAAAGGATTCTTCAGACGCGAGCCAGCAGACTACAGGGTAGCAGTAGGAAGCTAAGAGGAAGCAATGCAGTTGAGTCCACTGCAGAACAATTCAGCTGCTGAAGCAGGAGATGCACAGAGTGTGTGTGGGTGTGCGTCACTGCCAATAAACAACCAACACACTCCCCAAAAGCTCCCCAGGAGAAACGATTCTGCACTGACAGCCAGTGTGTCACGCTCCCGCTGCCCAGATGGAGCCAACACTTTGTTTTCTCCACTGCTCTATCCTATTTACATTTGAAGCCTCTCAGAGCAGGGATGGGTTCTGATGACTCCAAAGAGCTTAGCCAGGAGCGCCCCTTTATTGAGCCAAATTTAAAATAAAGCGGAAATACGCATTAATTGAAGAAAACAGATTTACTCCACACCTTTGCTTACACTGTGCAAAAACCCTCTTCCACATCAGGCATTTCTACTTCAAGTCAGGCTACAGTCTAACAGTTGCCTTTCAACCCACTTTAGCTTCAAAGAGAGTCTAGTTCTCTCAAGGAGAATTAAGAAACTAATGAGGATGCTTCAAATTGCGGATCAACGTTATCAAACGTGGGATCCTCTAGAGAGGAACCTAGAGAGGGCTACTTTTAAGATGAGCTGAGGCCCTGTCCCTTATCCCCCCGTAACTACTGGGTATTCAGCAACTTCCAGATCAGAACATCTCAGTTATTGCCTACATAAAGAGCTAAGTACCAAGTAACAAAGAAAGTTAACCACTGCTAATTTTATTGGGCGTAACTAAAACAAAAGGCATAGTGTTCTCAATTTTTTACAAAATGCCCTAACCATTGCTCTTTCCGTTACCTTTCAGGCTAGATAGGGACTGATCAAACACTGACAGCAATCCCTGCCTCTCCATCATGGTAGCTCTAATGGCCTTTCACAAGGCAAACAGAATAATCGTGCTAAGTGCCCTGTAATCTCAAACCTGTGTCATTTTATCAAGGTTCCATTGAAATGAGAGGCATTAATGAAGCCACACTTTGACTTGTCACAAATTACTGAATTAAAACTCTTTTCTGCCAACATCACATAAATATGGTTGGCTAAAACCCACTAAATTAGCTTAAATTATCACCTCAAATTAGGTTTCATAAAGCTTTTATTCAAATTATTATTTAAAAGCAGAAGAAAAAAATCACAGTGGGTAAGTTATCAGAACAATATACAGTCACATATTTAATTAGGAATATACAGATATATGTAAAAAAGATGCCTCCTACATTTGTGACAGAAGAGGAAAAGACTGCAGCATTGTTTTGGAACTACCAAAAGGGAAAAAAGCAGGAGTGGGCAAGATGGTAAACAGGCTACAGCAAAACTGGAGTTGGAAAAAAAAAACTATTTCCAAATCTACTTGTTATCCGTTAACACTTTATCTTCCCAAATTCATAGAATAAAAGCCTTCACAAAGTATTAAGTACTTCTCTGGGCACAAGTGGACACCATCTCTCATTTCTACCCCATTTCTACGCAGACTAGTGATGCTGTGCCAACGTGACGGCAGCGGGGGACTTCTGAGGAAGGCTGCTGGAACAGCAGGCAGGCAGAAGCTGCAAGAAAAGTGGTGGGAAGAGTTTAAAGGTCTCTGTGAGATCACTGATGTGCCAGATCATCACATAATACTACAGAGGGGTTGCTTAAAGAAGAAGAGAAAAATAATAACAGCCCAAGAACTACAGAATCATAGAATCATTTAGGTTGGAAAAGACCTTTAAGATCATCGAGTCCAACCATGAACAGCTTGAAAGGAGATGAAGGTAAAACAGGAGTTAAATCAAAAGGAGGAAATAAATTTATCTCCCGAGAGAAGTAAGTCAAAGCTGGTGTGAAAGGGAGGAGTGCAAGAGGCTGAGTGCAGCTGCCCATGGGTCAGTACCAACCCAGGCAAGCCACAGGGCCAGTGACCACTGGCCCCCCCCCCCCCCAGCCACTCCACTCGCGTGCAGCGTCTGGAAACAGATCCCTGCACATTATGTCTATGGATTTTGCGATTGTTACCATAATACCATGGGATTAAATAGCCTCTATTTTACATAAAATAACAATTGATTTTAGCAGGATCATTTTACTCTATGTAAACAATGTTATTAAAGAAGATGATTCGTTCTTTGTGTCCACTGAGAAGAAGACAAAAACAAACCAACTTAATTTACACCAAAGAAGGTTCAAATGAGGCCTAAGGATGCAGGATGAAGGCTGAGCCTGGAAATGAAGCGGCTGCAGATCCTCATGCCTGAGTGGGTATTTCTTCTGTGCCATCAGACGGAAACATCTGCACGGGATGGCCTGTGGCCGTGTCAGTGTCATCGGGGTGAGGGACCACCCTTAGATCCGTGGTTCCTGCATTTAGCTAGCAGAGCTCCAGACAGACACGTGTCCGTTCCCTTGCCTTTTGAACTATTTGATACGTGACTGAGGGTCCAGGCAAGGGGGGCACTTGGCTTAGTGGAGACCAAAGCTGGCGTGTGTTGAGGGTGAGATCCGCAGCCACTGATCTCCTGGTCCAGGGCAACTATCTGAGACCATCCCTTGCTCTCTGATTTTCTGGCCCGTAAAGCGATGTCAGCCGTACGTCTTCGGAGGACGGGGTCTGGCGTCCCTCCGTGCTTTGCCGCCCCTGCCAGGTCTGCCCCTTGGCCGGGACGGAAAGGACATTGCTCTCTCCGTCACGGTTTTTGCCGAGGGAAGAGCCGTGCCCTGCTCGGGACGGGGCTCCTTCTCCCTAGGGGCTGAGAGCCAGCGCTCGCTGACCGTCATTCCTCAGGCGAAGAGCCCTTACACCGCCGGCCCACCCAG